TATTACTATATATATCATATTTGATATTTTATTATAAGATGAATATCTAGATATTTGTTTTATTGACATAGGTATCTTTCTATTTATTACTATTTGTATATCCTTATTAATTTATTTGATTATAAATAGAGAACTTTCCGGCACCATTTAGGTGTAGTGGTTTTAGCAAATATTCTCATGGTATCATAGCCCTTTCGGTTTAACAATCCTAATTCTTTCTTTTCAATGGCTTTTGAATGTTTTTCTCCACCACCACTGTTGGCTTTGACGTCACAAGGGCAGTCTCCATAGGTGCCACATGACTACTCTTCGACGCCACCCTTTTGACCTCCAAATCATCCTTTCCATATACTCTGTACATACAACCTCACCTTTTCCAACACAATCAATTTTCCCTCAACCAACATAGTCTCTCATTTTCTTCCCAATCTTCCATTCATCCTTCATAGAAACCCAACCTAAACCTATCGAGCTTTTACAGAGATTTACCTTTGGAATCTAGGCGCCGCACTGGCCTCATCACCAACCAAGCCGCCACCGCCGCCTCTCTTCTCGCCAAAATTGGCTCCTTCGCCCACCGTGACGACTCTTCTGGCTTCAACATTGTGTTTTGTCCCTTGCTTTAGGTTTCCCCTTATGCTTCTTGGGTTAGACATATTCTGACCAAAGCCATCGTCGATGAGCGACGATCCCTCTTCATGGGTTAAACATTCTCATAGTATAAGAACAAGACTATTTAAAATAAACCTATGAAAAACATAAGCTTATGTTTTATTTCTCGAGCAAGATTATTATTATTATTTATTTTAAATCAAATGAAAGTAACTTAATAACTAAATTAGGAAAAAAAAAAATCGAAGTTTATAACTAAATCAGGAAGATTTATAATTATCAAGTAATAAAGCCAAAATAAAAAATTTAAATGGACGAAAACATATTATTTAAAATTGCACACACACAATTATTTATTTATTTATTTAATGGGAATTACAATAAATGACATAATGAGAAATTTATTTAATGCGTGGGCCAATAAATGGATCTATTAGACTTGTGTTTTCTTTGATAGTCCAAAGCTATAACCAATTAGAATCTTCCACGTGGCCATCTCAAAGGATAAGGAAAACAAATTGAAGAAGAAAACTGGTTCGTAATGAGAAATAAATAATTTATATAATTGAAAAAAAAAAGAAATAATTAATGTCAAACTTTATGTAAAATAAAAATAAAAATAAAAACATGTTGACATATTATTAATTTTTGTTTGAAATGTTCTTATCTGATAATGATTGAACTCCAAAAACTTTAAAATTCTTTTAAAATATGAATCGAGAAAGAAAAATTATTTTGTCACTAAAACTTACGAAGGCGACAACAAAAAAAAATGAGAAGGGCTTATACGTCTTTTTCGAGTTGAAAAAGTCATATTAAATAAAATCATTAAAAAAAAAGGTCACTATTAAAATAAATATAATATAATATTCAACATAATTTCTAAAAATTTAAAATTTAATATTATAATATATTATATCACACATAAATATGGGTATATAAAATGAGTAGGGTAGGGTGGGATTGGTTGGAGTAGTGGTGACAGGAAATGTAATTCTAATCTCACCCACATTCACCATTAGTATAGATTATGTGAACGTCTCCAGTTCTAAAATTTTAGTTTAAATAATTAAATAATTAATTATAATGATTTGAGGATTTGGTATAAATTTGTTTTCACATTAAATTTAGTTTAGTAGGCCAACAACTTTATAATATAAGACCAACATCTAATAAATAAACTATATACTAAAATTATTTATTTATCAATTCACAAGTAATGATAGATTTGCCGCTAAAATAAAATTATGAAATATTGTAATTATTGGTTTGCCGTAATTTAAGTAATGCAAAGAATAAAAGAAATAAAGAAAAAGAAATAGAGCAGCCGACACGTAACTTTGAAAAGTCATAGGGTGAATTCAAAACGACACGTCGTTTTAGTCAAAGACATGAAAAAAAGATGAGTGGGGGCGGATTTGAAAGGGTCAAAAAACTGAATATAATAATGAAGGGCTGAAGGCGGCCACCGTCTTAAACTCGGACCCAACTTTTGAAGTTAAATTACAGCTTTACCCTTTATGCCATTTAATTATGAATCGTTTAACTATAAAAATTAAAATTTTAACACAAAAATAAAAAATAAAAAATAAAGGGACCAAAAGGGTATTTTAAATTTTAATTTTTTTTGTTTTATGACGTCGATATTACTCAAATTGGGAGATTTTATAATTTTTAAGATAATAAATTTCTTAAAATGAAAATAATATAAAGATATTATTAAAATTAAATAATGAAAAGAAGCCCATAAAAGGCTGTGAGCTATGGGATATTATAATTGTAGGAAATAAACAAATAAAATGCCTCTTTTTCAGTGCATTTCACTTGAAATTAAAAAATAATAGCATAATTATAAACCTATAAAGGCAGCCCCTCAAACCCTTTCCACCTGTCATTATAAAATATTTTTTTTATAAATAAAATAAAATCAAAATCCCCCATAGCCCCACAAATTGGAGTTGACATTATTATATCATTTCTTTTCATATCTAAACCTTCAAAAAGAAAATTATTGATTTTAATTATTTAATATATTAGTGGCTTACATATAAATGCATATATATATATATATATAAAATAATTTAAATATTTAATATTTTAATTAATGATATAATATTTTAATCCGTATTCAAGTATAATTTAATATTAAAATATTAGTAACTTTTTTATACGTCAAAATTTAAAAATTTGACGCATCATCAGATCTTTATTTTTTAAAAAAAGAAATTTTAATTTAAAATTTAAAATTTATTGGTGGGTATTTAATATTGATAAAAAAAAAAAAAAAATCTCTCTCTAACTTTTTTTTTTCTCTTTTGGGGCACATTGCCAACAATTTGTTTCGTATCAATTGTGCTCTTTTTCAGGAATAATGTTCAAATTCCTTTTAATTCAAATAATAATAATAATTATTATTATTATTTTTGCACTTTTTGGTGAAATTACCATTTGGGGCCTACCCAAATCATTATTTTGCCCCAAAACCCACACAAAATAGCCTAAAAGTTGGAGAAAATTGGATTATTTGAGAGTTGAATTTTGACCAAAATGGCACTTTTTCTTTGGTGTTTATAGGCCAAAAAAACCTAAATTTAGTATTTAATTAAAATTGGAAAATATATAATTTAAGGGAATTTATTTTTTCAATCAACATAGGAAAAAATGAAATTATTTTTTCAAATGATATATTTATGAAAAATTAAAGAAAATAAAATAAATTAAAAAGTAAATAAAGTACAATGATTTGATGTAAATAAAAATAGTGCTTTTATAAAGAAGGTTGAAACGGTCCAAAAAAAATTCAAAATTTAGTCAATAAGTCAAAGACAAATCTCAGTTATTTTCAATCATAATAATATTCATCCTTTTTAATCATTAATTCTCCCCTCTCCCAGCTTTGAAAAATAAAAATTAAATATTTTTTTTTAACAAATATTTGAATTCAAATTATTTAATTTCATTTGAAAAAAATAAAAAGGCAATTTTATTTATTTATTTTTACCAAAACGTTCAATTTCATCCAATTATACCATAAAAATTTACAAATAATAATAATAATAATAATAATAATAAATATAAATTAACATTAAATAAAATTGTAAACAAAAAGGCTGAAATTTTTATAAATATAAGGTTTAATTTGATAAATATTTATTTTTGTAAGTCGAGTCGAACTATTAAATTTAAATTATAAATTGAGTGATTTATTTATTTTTCGATTTTGGGATCAGCTGAATTTTTTGAAAAAAAAACAAAAAATGGTTCAGTCACATGTTGTAATTTGTTTTATCGGGTTCACAAACTAACCCTATTTTTAAAATCAGTACTAGAATTATTAATATTTGAGGTGGGTAGTGTTTAAGTAATTTTAAATTAATAAATTTTAATTAATTTATTAATTAATGTCTTGATAATAACAAGCCTTCTCTTAATTATTAATAATTTCAGTGTTCAGTAAGTATTCTAAAGTGTTGATAGTAATTGCTGTTATTATTATTATTCATATTTTATATTTGTTAAACGTCACATATGTTAATTATTAAGAATTTTATAATATATACTTTTATTTTTTTAAATGTCTTCGAAATATTCTTAATTTTTATAGGTATTGATAGGAAAATTTGATTTAATTAACGAACATTTATTTGGAAAGTTATTCGAAACGCATTAAATTTTAATACTAAAAATGCTATTATCCAAATGGGCCGTTAAAGCCCAACTAACGTTTGGGCTTTCACGTTCCATTTAGGCCCAACTAACGTTTGGGCTTTCACGTTCCATTTAGGCCCAACTTTATATTTTCCCTTTATTTTCTCAACGGTATAAATGAGTTTTAAAAATGTATAAAAATCATCGGCTATTTTTCTCTTTATTTATTTATTAAAAGCCAAAATTATTATCATCCACCAAAATGATATTTTTTTTAATTATAAACCCTTTACAAATTTTAGGAAATAAAATAAATATCTTTTATTTTTATTTTTTAAAGTTAAAAAAATTCAAAAGAAATTAAAGAAGATAAAAAGAAAAAAACACCATATATATATATATATTTTAAGTTTATGAGTCAAATAAAATAAATATAAGAATTTAAAAATTGAAATTGAAATAATATTTAAACCTAATAATTTTAAAATATAAATTATATGTTAATTTGTTTGATTAGTTCCACGAACATTCATGTTCCTGTCTTGTATTTTTTAAAATTTAGGACAGAAAAATTAATCTATTGAGATTTATAATTTATTATTAATTTAAATATTTTTTATAAATTTATTTACTTATATATAATAATAATAATAATAATAATAATAATAATAAAAACAGAATCGGTTCTGAAAAATTATGGCCGTGGATTAATTAGAGGATTTAAATATTGAGTGAAAAAAGGAAAAAGAAATGGTGGTTAATTCGAACGCCCGAGAACTCATAAGCTCACAAAAATGGCTTCTCTGTTGTCTTCTTCCAAGAGTTCCGTCTTCTTCACTGCCAACCCTAAATTGCCACTCTTCTCCTCTCTTCCTTCTGTTTATGTTCCATCATTTCTCTCCTTCAATCTCCCTCGCAAAGATTCTGGATCCCTCCGATTCCCTTCCCTTCGCCTGAGCTCCTCTCTCTCCGACGACGCATCTTCCGGCGATGAAGATGCTGCCGGTTCTCGCTCGGGGATCACGGATGAGTGGGGGGAAGAAGCTGAGTCGGATCCTGACTCTTCGTTTTCGAGATTCTCGGAGTTCGATCCCCCGAAGGACGATGACGAGTGGGGCGGTGATGGATATGCTGATGGAGGTAATGGTAAAGCTGCTGTGGTTGAGGATAAGAGTGAGGAGTTTGTGGATGATAAGCTTTTTGAGCTTAAGAGATGTTTGGTTGATACGGTTTATGGGACTGAGATCGGATTTAGGGCTGGGTTGGAGGAAAGAGCTGAGGTTTTGGAGATTGTGAACCAATTGGAGGCGGCGAATCCAACTCCGGCGCCGGTGGAGGCCCCTGGACTTCTCGATGGTAACTGGATTCTAGTGTAAGTTCGTTACGGAATTTTAAACTCGTTCTTCACCTATAATCTGACTCCTGATTAGCACTTAGCATGCATATTTATGGCTTCAATCAATCAAAGAAAACAACCATAGAGAATACACGAAATGGAATTCCATATGTTTTTAGCTTCAGATGCGAATTTGGAGATTGAAAGAGAGAGCTCATCTTCTGATTAACGAAGTTCATTAACATTTGAACAACAATGTTGAATACTGCTTCTGAATACTATGTTTGATCTATGATGGATTAGGTATACTGCTTTTTCCGAGCTTCTGCCGCTTTTAGCATTAGGAACATTGCCATTAGTGAAAGTGGAGAAGATTACTCAAGAAATTGACTCAAATACGCTTACCGTCGTAAACTCTACCACTTTGTCCAGTCCATTCACCACATTTTCTTTCAGTGCGTCTGCAGCCTTTGAAGTTCGGACTCCTTCAAGGATACAGGTGCTTTTATTTGCACAACATTTTGTCTTTCTTTTCCAGAATTACATGTTCTGTGTTTTTTCATATTTCGCAACAATTTTTAAGCTCCTCGTATGAAAAGAAACCAAAGGTGTTTCCTCTATATTGTCCTTGAATAAATCTTATAATTTGTGTCCTCTAAATGAAGAAGATAACGAATTCATTGAAACATGGAACAAGAACCATGTTTATTATGTTCAAAACTTGCAGACATTTCAGAGAGTTCGTCGAGAAAAGGAGCAAGAAACGACATAGCCTTTTTCCTAAAAAATTAGAGAAGAAATAGGAATATTGTCCCATGAATTCTAAATGAACTAGGCGACCGAAGATTAGACCGTTAATTTTTGTTGGTGCATCTTCTCAACTTCAATCTCTTTGTAGCAGTCTAGTTAGTGGAATAGCAATAAAAATATCTAATCAAGCCTGCTGGCTAAGGCCTGTGGTCTTTGAGTAACACCGAACCTGAAGTTGCGTGATTGAATCTTCGAGTGAGTTTAGTAAAGATTTTTGTTCTTAACAAAGTAAAAAAAACAGGAACAGCCTAAGGACTAGGGGAAGAGGGAACCCGACTCATAATAAACTAAGTAAAAGCTTTCCAATTGTTCATAATCATTGGAAGGCGGTAGTTACTAAAGAATGCTGCGTGATTAAGACACCACCAAGACGAAAATCCTATCTGCTCTATAAAGAAAAACCTTGATGTCTTTAGAGTTTGGACTTTCGGGGTGGGCGTAGATTTACAAAAACAATAAGAATTCTAATTCATTTTGCAAAATCCTTTTTTCCAGGCTTAAACGTTTTAAATGCAATAAATATACATGTGCCAAGTCGTTAGTAGAACTTGAACGCATAGTGTTTGTTTCTTCGTGTAAATTATCTGTTTGATTATGATTAATGGTCGAGCCATGGTTTCTGTACACGATGAGTTTCTATTGAACACGTGTTCAAGTATGTTCGAACAATCTGAATACTTCTTTCCCTGTTATTCTAAATCTGACTAGTCTTCACGAGTTATGTTCAGGTTCAATTCAAAGAAGGTATTCTGCAACCTCCTGAGATAAAGTCAAGGCTTGATCTTCCAGAAAATATTGATATATTTGGACAGAAAATTAATTTATCCACTGTGCAACAAACTCTTGATCCAATACAGCATGCAATAGCGAGTCTATTCCAGGTCATTTCGGGTCAGCCTCCCCTCAAGATACCCATTCCAGGTGATCGTAACAGGTCCTGGCTACTTATTACATACCTCGATGAAGATCTTCGAATCTCAAGGGGTGATGGTGGTCTTTTTGTTCTCGTTAAAGAAGGGAGTGCTCTACTAGATCAGTAAAATCAGGTACTTTCTGTAATGGTACAAAAACGCATCGAGTCTGGCATGTAATTGCTTAATTTTTGATGTTAGGTCATACAATACTACTTTCTAAATGAGTATGATACAGAAGATATAATGGTCATGCATCTACCTTTTTAGTCTTGTATCTTCCTTGCTAATTTCTATTTTGTGAAGGGGATAAAAAGGAGAAGGATAAATCGGCATCTGGTATGGACATTCATTTCAGAATTCTGATAAATGTGTGAGCATGATCTGTACTTGCATTAGTCTATCTGAATCTTTAGAAATGTTGATCTTTGTTCTTGAAATATAAATCAGTTGTAGCCATAGGATACAAAGATTGCCAATATTATATAGAAAACCGACTCGTTATTCCGATTACTGCCGAAAGAAAAGGAATTATACTGCCTTGTTTGGCATTCGAGAGGTGATTCTCTCCCAAAATGCTAAACAATTTCCTACTTGGCTTACTGGCCTTCTTTCACTCCCTACCCAGAATTACAAAATTGTTGTGCCATTTTGGGTAAGATACTATATCGATTGGAGAGGGGAATGACATCGATTGGAGAGGGAACGAGCGCCAGGACGTTGGGCCTTGAAAGAGGGTGAATTGTGAAAAATTTCATATTGGTTGGGAAGGAGCACGAAATCTTCTTTATAAGGGTGTGGAAACCTCTACCTAGCAGCGCATTTTAAAAACTTTTAGGGAAGTCAAACCTTTAGGGAAGTCTAAAGAGAACAATATTTGCTAGTGATGCCTATATTGGCTTGGGCAATTGACTCTACCCTATCATTTGGGACCAATACTCTTCTCCACCCTACCCCTCTATGACATGTTTGAAGGATTATCGGGTTAACCATCATATGAGTATAACAAATAACTTAGAATGAGTTTAAACTATGTTGACCACCTACCTAAAGTTTAATATTCAACGAGTTTCCTCGGTGCCAAAATGTAGTAGGTCAAACCGTTTCCTCATACACCAAATGTAGTAGGGTTTGACGGTTTGCCCCATGAGAATAATTAATGTGCACGTTTTAATCTCTTATGAGTTCTTCAATAGGAAAATGTAGTAGGATTATGGTTTGCCCTTTGAGATTACTCAAGGTGCACAATTTAATCTTCAATGAGTTTCTTCATCAGGCAAATGTAGTAGAATTAGATGGAGGTTCCCTCAACAAGAAAATGTAGTAGGATAAACGGTATGAGCGTTGAGAATAGTCAATAGTCAAGGTGCGTGATTTAATCTCCAACGAGTATTCTCGACAACTAGGTAGTAGGATCATATGGGTTACCTGGTGAAAATAGTCGAGTTTCTTCAACAACCAAATGTAGTTGGTTTGATATGTATGCAGAATATTTAGATTTTCTATATAAATAACAAAGGGTCTCTTCTTAAAGTACTTGTATAGATCAATTGCTCTTTAACATGCTAGACAACTTTTTTCATTAAAACTTTCAAGTGTTCATGTTTGTATTCGTATTTTATTTTTTTTAATCAGATTTTCAAATAAATTCAAATTAGTTGTGGCCATTTTATATTATATATGGTTTTAAATATGCTTAATTAAAATTTTAATAACCAAATATAAACAAACTAAAGGAAAAAAAAAAAAAAAAGATTCATTTAGGTTATTTATTTTCAACTTGTGTTCGTTTTTGTTCATTTTAGCTTCGGTGATTTAGCGTGTGTGTATATATATATATATATATATATTAATTTTCATTTTACCAAAATCTTAGCACAGGCTTAACGATCAATAAATTTTTATATTAAATTGTTTTTGTCGGAAACAAAATGAAATAATTGGACTAAATATTTGACTAAATATAATAATAAAAAGAACTCAAATAGTCAATTCGAGCATCATTCCCTATGAATGAATCCTTGGCTTTGTTGTTGAACTTAATAAAATAAAAATTATTGAAAAGTAAAACTAAAAAAACCAAAAAGTATATAAACTTTTCTTACTTGACGTGGCAAGACGCGATTGGTTGCCTCCATCTTGGTGTAACGATTTTAGGTGTGAACGCCCGCAGAGGATCCATAGAAAATTATTTCAAAAAGTAGTTGACACTAGGACTCCCAACGGAACAGTACACGTCGGCATTTAAAAGACGTGCGACTTTGTCACGAAATTCCCGCCTTTTCTAACGGATTTTCCCTTTGGAATAATTTTCCGGGAAATTTCTTTTATGGAAAATATATAAAAAATATATTAATAATAAAAATAAAAATAAGTTTTAAACTTCTCTGTTTTCGATTCTTCTTGTTCTTGTGAAAATTCTTATGGGATCCGGTTTTTCGGTGAGTTAGAATATTCACGGGTGATCCGGTCGATCCACCGAGGAAGAACGACGACATTGGTGCTCGTTTCGGATCGTTCGATCTCGATCTCGGTCTCAAAAAGCCGTTCAGAGAACAGGAATCAGAACATTTACAGTTCGTTTTGTTCGATTCGTTTTTGTTTTGGCGAATCCTGATTGGAATTTTCGAGGTATTTGTGTTATTCTTGTTTATGGAGTGGATTGGGTGAATCCAGGGCGGAAAATCCTAAGAACTTGAGGATTTGATTTCCGATTCTACTGAAGAAGAAGAACTGGAGGTAAATTGGTAATTGAATGTCGATTGTCCATTTTTTAGGTTTTGGTTGAGATTTGGAATTCGAGTTTTGTTGCGAACGGAGATAGATTATTGTTTGGGGATTTGTTTAGGTTTTACAGTAATTCTGAAGCAATTAGGGCTCTGTTTATTAACATGAGCGACAAGCAACCGATTAAGTTAGACGACGAACAAATTGCGGAGTTGAGGGAAATCTTTCGGTCGTTCGATCGGAACAACGACGGGAGTTTGACTCAACTCGAACTTGGATCGCTTTTACGATCACTTGGTTTGAAGCCGAGTCCGGATCAGCTTGAGAATTTAATAATGAAGGCCGATACGAACAGCAATGGATTAGTGGAATTTTCAGAGTTCGTAGCTCTGGCGGAGCCGGAGCTGGTATCGGCGAAGTGCCCTTACACAGAGGAGCAATTAAAGCAGCTATTTAGGATGTTTGACAGAGATGGGAATGGGTTTATCACCGCAGCGGAGTTGGCTCACTCGATGGCCAAACTTGGCCACGCTCTCACGGCGGAGGAGCTCACCGGAATGATTAGGGAAGCCGATACCGACGGCGATGGCAGAATCAATTTTCAAGAGTTCTCTCAGGCAATTACTTCTGCTGCATTTGATAATTCCTGGGCTTGAACATTTTTCTGGTATCTCTCCCTCTCTCTCATTGGAAAACTTGCTGCAATTTTCTTTCAATTGAGTTCTAGGAGTTAATTAAGGATTTTGATTCACATGTTGGGTCACTATAAGACATTGAGATTAGAATGTCTGAGCATACATTTGCTACATATGTTTACCATATACTTCTGTTAATGTTAGCATAAAATTTGCATCTTAGATTATACTGATCTAGAGCTTTGAAGCCATATCTTTAGTTGTCCATTACACCTTATCAACCATGAGTATTTGTAACGATTCAAGGCTACCGCTAGCAAATATTGTCTGTTTTGACCCGTTATGTATCGCCGTCATCAGCTTTACAATTTTTAAAACATGTCTAATAGGGAGAGGTTTCCACACCCTTATAAGGAATGTTTCGTTCCTCTCTCCAACCGATGTGAGATCTCACAATTCACCCCCTTGGGGGCCCATAGTCGCATACCGCTCGGTGTCTGGCTCTGATATCATTTGTAACAGTTCAAGCCCACTGATAGCATATATTGTTCGCTTTGGCCAGTTATATATCACCGTCAGCCTCACGATTTTTAAAACGGGTCTAATAGGAGAGGTTTTCACACCATTGTAAGGAATGTTTCGTTCTCCTCTTCAACCGGTGTGAGATCTCACAATCCAACCCCCTTAGGGGCCCAAAGTCGCACACCGCTTGGTGTCTGGCTCTGATACCATTTGTAACCGTTCAAGCCCACGGCTAGTAGATATTGTCCGCTTTGGCCTGTTATATATTACCGTCGGCCTCATGATTTTTAAAACGTGTCTAATAGGAGAGGTTTTCACACGCTTATAAGTAATGCTTCGTTCCCTCCTCCATCCGATGTGGGATTTCATACAGAGTCAGTCCTTGTTGAAATCTTTTCCTATCTAGCGTGTTTTCTTTGGAGTAGTTTATTCTTTTACAGACGGTAGAAGTTTCTTTGGGTCTATTAAATGATTTGTTTAGAAATTCTCGACAAGGTTTAATTGATTAATGCAGCTTGGATGATGCATCCCTTTAGTAAAGGTGTTCGTTAATTGTCAAAAATGTTAGCAGTGTTACAGAAACTAGTGCCAACAATTTGAGCATGAAAAACTAAGGTGTGTGCCTGTAAATCTTTTTGCAGCGACCGGAAACAAACAGCAAATGGGTAATATTTGGACGGCAGATGACTGTAACCAACATGACGATCTTGTCAAGAAATTGAAAATGGTTTATGGGTTCAGTTTTGAATGTTGATCAAGTCTGAATCTCTTACCTATTTCTTTGCTCGAAAAAGACTCGAGAGTTCAAGTTGTTAGGTTTCAAATTTGGGCTGTTTATAAAGTTGGAGTCCAAACCAAACACACTGCTGGGATTTTTGTGAAAGGATTTTAGTTCCAATTCCAGTTTTTCAATATGGTATGGTGGTGGTAGTTTGATGCTTTCATGTGGTCTTTTTTTTTTTTCTTTGAGATTTTGTTTAATTTCATTTTAGTTATTCCCAACAAATTTTTGATCTTCGAACATTTTGGAATCTATGTTATAGCTAATATTGTTAAAATGCTTTCGAGGCAGGTATAAGTCATTCCTCTTGCTTGTTTAGAGACGAGAAATGCCTAATTGAATAAAATTGTATACATTGTAAAATAGATAGAAAGAAACGTGTACACGAGAGAATCAATTTAAAGGCAATTTCATGAAGATTGTGATATTTAGTCAAGCCAAATTGGATGATTCAATTTAAAAGTTTCATTTTTTTTCCTCATTTTTCAGCAAAATTAATGTAAATTTCAATAGATGTTTTTCTTATTTCAAGAAAAAAATTCATTTTATTTTTGTTTCTGTAAAAAAGAAGGGAAAATAAATTTAGATTCTATGAATGCAAGGAGATTGAAGTTTCTAAATAATTTAGGCCTCAAACAGAAACAGATAGTTAATTTTAAAAAATTAAAACTATATTCATAAAACTAGAAATTGAAAGAAGAAACCAAAAAATAAAAATAAAATAATATATATATATATATATTTATTTATTTATTTATTTTTAAAAACCACATTATATTTACATAGTTAAAGCTAGCTTTTAAGAGTTGTCCTCATGCCTTCTTCCTTTTGGATTTGAGCATTACAATTCCAACAAATATGCCTAATAAACACAGAAGTACCACACCAGCAAATACAGGTATGAGGATGGCAAATTCCTGTGGTAAGAAATAGCTGTGGATGAAGTGATCACTATCCACAAATGGCTGCCATTAAAACAAAGCAAAATACATTAAAATACACGAGCTATGATAAATTTAATTATATCAAATACTTCAACAATCTCACTCTCGCTCTCGCTCACGCACTTGAAAATTTGTTGAAGATCCAACAAGTAGAAATTAATATTAATTAATAAAAAAATGACATTATAGGAGTTCAAACACGAGACGCTCTAGTACTAGGTTAAATCACCCATCAATCTAAAAGTTGAAGTAAATGAGTTAAGACAAGTTTAATTATATCAATACTTTAACTGACAGTAACGCGATCAAGTACATCGAACGAAATCATTTGGTAGAGCATCTAGAACATGGAAGATGAACTTACCAGGATAATGACCCAGAAAGTACAGCAAGTGAAGATGGACAAGCTGGTAAGCGATAGCAAAAATCCAACCGTCTTGTCTGCTAACTCCATTTAGAGGTGTTATTATTTCCTGTGAACAACATACAATACCCATTTGGGTGTCAAGTATTGTAATGGATTAACCATTTGCGCCAAAAACACACTTTTTTGAGGTCAAAAGCACATTAAATTACTTCCCAACCTAGCCTAAATATACAGATTACCATGTACCTATAAGGAATCTCTCCCTAACAACAACCTGCAATAACGCTAAGTAACACAAAATGCACCAGAAACCAGAGATGGAACAGGGGGAGACACTGTTCTATTGATAATGGCTCGGAAACGAATGATTACAAGCGATTAAACAATAGGAAACTACCCGAACAGCAAACAACCTTCTCCAGCTACTTTGAGAGAGCTGGGAGCATCTCCTTCCCAAAGCCTTAGCCACATAATTCATAAAAAAACCTACATGTACTCAAATCCCAAAATAACGACACTCCCCTTGCCGAATTGCCATACAACAACAACGAGCTCACACCCCCCTTACTCATGTCAGATTACCCTCCTTTCCCTTTTTCCCCCCTCCTACCATATGTTTGGGTAATTTGGGGCCTTGCAGTACCATTAGGCACAACGTGTGTCATCACATGTTGCATTGCTTTGGCCTGTTATATAAGAATTCAGTCGACTGCTAGACAAGAGTTCACAACAAGGGGAAGCCGTGCTCTTATTAGTACTGACTGCTAATCTCATCAAAAAGCTCTCAGATATTTTAGTAGATGATTAATTTTGACAAGTCATTCAAGTAAAAACAATTCTCTCACTTATTTAACTAGATTGTTGAATAAATAATCTTATTTCATTTTATTCTGGGATTAGTATCATCTTTTATAAAGATAAGATATACGATCAGCCTAATCCATCGTGACATTATGTAATGGTCCAAGCTCACCGTTAGCATATATTGTCCTCTTTAGACTTTTCCTTTCGGGCTTCCCCTCAAGATTTTTAAAAGCATCTGCTAGGGAGAGGTTTCCACACCCTTATAAAGAATGTTTCGTTCTCCTCCACAACCGATGTGGGATCTCACACATTATAGATCGATATGCATCCTGGTGCTAATAGACAATATAAATAAATAAACCAGAACAAACTCCTTCATCAACATCGCTCAACTTCTTTGTTTTCCACCTTTTATTTTCACTTCGGAGAACGGGAATGCACTTGTAGATGACATCCCGACATCAAAAAATAACTAGAAATTTCTTCTAGACCCCAGCCTATGATTCGTATTATCCTCATGTATTCATACATTTTTCTCAATGAAGGAGTTTTTTCAATGAAAAAGTTCCTTATTGTATATTAAGTAAGGGGAACATCAGGTGAACAATTCAGACCCATATGTTTGAATTAGATTACCATTGATTCTTAGTCTTCCATTCCTATAGGTGGATTGTAAGAAATACACTACAAGGATGATATGCAATTCAATATTTAGAATGGAAATCAAACTTCAAGAGAATAAGAGCACGAAAACCTAGAGCAAATGTTTCATAACCATCCAAGAAAGATCTAACTTGTACTAGATCCAGGTGTGAATCAAATTTCAAAACTGGCAAAACAGAACATCTAATAGTCTCACAAATGCACTTCCACTGGCATGGAGGACCTGAAATGGATTCCAAAAGACTTGGGATCAGCCCACTGGGACCATAAATACTTAGGAAATACGTTAGACATGAAGATGAGACCTTATTGGCTTGCAAAGGGGATATAGGAAAGAAGAAGAAAAATATAAAACCTTAAAGGGTAGAAGAGGAGGGTCCTAATTATAAAGTAAGAGACTGCTTCAAAATATGACACTTGAATTTTGAAACAGAACAATAGAATTTTGCTTAAAAAAGTAGTTTTAAAAAATGTTTTCGTTTTTGGAATTTGGCTAAGAATTCAAATCTTTCCATGAAAATTGTTACAAACAAATAGGGATAAAACAAACACAACACTAAAAAATCTAAAAACAAAAACCAAATGGTTATCAAACTAGACCTAGATAATGAAGGAGAAGTATCCAATAGCCAATACCATCTGTGTCTTACAGAAAACTGCTAAATTCTAGAACCAAAAATGCCCATTGCGTATGGTGTCATGAAGCAATCTAATCAAAAACAATCTTCATACCATAACTTGAACATTGTAGGTTTTTGTTTTTTTTTTGTCCCTGTTATTTCTTCTGTAATTTTTGTTTTCACGAATAGTCCTGCTAATCTTCAACACTTCTAAGGGAAAAAAGAGCAATGTGAAGAAATTGAATCTAATGGTGCTGGAGATATAGTAAACAGATGCAGCCAATATCGATCAAGCTAATCATACTACCACCTTAAAAAATCAATTCAATTCCTCTAAATACAGAACAATATTTGTAGAGCTCATTTTTTCAAATGAAATCAAGGAATTCGCGCAATAAAAATCGAAACCAAGATCAAAGATCGTCGAAATTTTAGCAGCAAGAGTTAATCGACGTGATACAGATAGCATGGTATAAAGCTCATACCTGATTCTTCGTCGCCGGAAAATGTTGGAAGGATCAAGGAATGAAACAGAATCTGGAAAGGTTTTTCCGAAGAATGATCCTATTTGGAAGCTAAATTCGATAACCCATGTGAGAAAAATGAAGAATGTTGGACTTGGGTCTTCCAAATTACGTTTCTGCCCTCGCTATTTACTCTTATTTATACTATTGGTCGGATTTTTTATTTTATTTATTTTTTTATTAAAGCCAAATTAAATTCACCAAGAATAATGTTATTCGGACATGGGTTCGACATTAACATAAGAAATGAATCGATTTTTTTTTTTTTTATCATTAAAAAAAAATCAATGAAACATAAAAGATAAACAATAAAATATCACCGATATTAACCTTATATAAACAATAAATTTTTTAACTTATTTAACAAACGGGATAAAAATTATCGTATGCATTTTCATAAAATTGAGATTGTTGACATTTTCATTCTCTAATTGAGCTATTTTGACTTGACAACCACGATCATTTGAGCTCTATCAAAATTCTTGGTGCAATTCTATGTACGGATTTGGATTTCACTAAGTCTATCCATTTCCATAAAAGACATAATTGACAACTCTAAGCTCGAGATTGAGAAAAACTAGCTCATAACATTTCTAGCATGGGTTGCGTACTCACTCATAAGACACTCATATATTCAGATATTCTAGTGGTTCGGGACATATGTATGTCGATATTTTAACCTCCTTAGATAGGTTCTAAAGCATTTCTTATAGACAAAAAGTCATTGCGTTCAGAAGCCTTACCTGTAACCTATAACGTAAGGTGAATCTTATTATTGGCATGTTTGCATAGACTCGTAAGTCTTCAAACACCACGACTTGATGCCTTTGTGATACTAGTAATGAAGACTAAGAGAATAAAAATTCTTCACTTTTCTTTTCAAGGGTAACAAAAGGGTACAACTTTTAAAGCATATATATGTTTCAAAAAGCGAATCAACCTCTAACGAAGTCTCTTCTGGATTGATGCTAATAAACTTTCGTAACAGTAAGCAGAAACCAAAGAAAACCAGTTATCCACCAAATGTTCAAGCGCCAAGAAGCAGACCAGAAAATCTAAGCATTCAATTGGTGCAGCTTCTGTTCTCAGTTGCCATGATGATGTCCTATGATCTTTGTTGTAGCATGTACATGAATCCTTCCAGCCTCAACAAAATGAAAGAGAACAGTGAACTTTAGTTCCTAGTTTTGCAGCATCCATTGCCTTATATCCTCCCTAATGACCCCGCCATGCCATCCTCTCCCGTATCTTGGCCGAGGCACTTCAGGTGTCAAAATACCAAAATGTCTATGCTGGATCATAGTTGTGGCTGGGTTTGAAGGCTTCATCGTCATGGAAATTGTAGGAAATTGCTTAGGCCATATATTTGTTGATGAGGTAAATAATTGTCTAGAAGATTTTGGCTTCTTCAGGACCTGGGAGCTCTCTGGGTTTTTCAAGACGGGGGAGCTGGAAATCTGCTTGGTCGTGTTTTTGATCGATCCGCCATCTTGTTTACGAATTTGAGCTGATGGTTTATATCTGTCGAGCAATCGTAGAATCCAGTTACCAAGATTCCTACCAACTTCTAAGTCTCTCTGCTGTATGTTCAGGTGAACCTTTAATGCTACATCAAATACGATACGGGTACGTCTGCAGAAGAAATGGCGACAGGCAGAATATTTCACATTCATGGTTATTGAAAATATCATATCAATAAGAAACCAGGACATTATGACTTAATGAGTGGCACCAAAAACTGTTCTAAATTACAGTCGTTTATGTGTTCACCTTTAAACCAACACAACAAGACAATCTACCGTCTCATACTAGAGTAACAAGAAACAAATTACACAACTTAAAGACCAATGAACATGGCTTTTACTCATCACATCATCATTATTATTTATATTATAATCAGAATGTTCAGGCTCACATCTTGCATATCTTGCATTGTGTTCGTAGTTCACCATGCTAAATGTTGAGGATAATATCTTGCAGACCTTCTAGAGAAACCAAAAGCAAAGCCACGAGAGTTAAGCTCAAAGTGGATAATATCGTACTATTGTGAAGAGTCATGATTTCTAACACTAAATTCTGCCTACCCAAAGTCAGCTCGGAGAAGAATAGTTTTAAGGCTTTTAAACCTCGGAAGGTATCTAAGCCCTTACTGTTATGGCATACCTTGAGGTTCCCATCATTATGATCCATAAAGAATATTACTTTTCATGCTTTATAATTCTTGGAACAAGCTTACACGCTTCATAATTATGAGCCTCAAAACAATAATCACAACCCATGACAAAAATGTTCCGATCATGCTTCAAAAGTGTGGATTTTCACCCCATGTTAGAATTATAAGATCTAAAAAAATATTGGTACTTCATAATTCTTGGAATAAACTTCCATGCTTCATAATTATGAGCATTAAAACAAAAATCATAGCACCCATGACAAGATGTCCTGATCATGCTTCAAAAGGGTGGATTTTCACTCCATGTTAGAACTATAAGATCTAAGAACTATTGGTGCATTCATTATAAGAATGAACTGCTGCTGGAAGGTGAAAGGGATGATAGAAGTGCTGGAATGCATCATCAATCATGAGAGTGAAAAATGAGAGAAAGGAAGAAGAGAACCCCTCATTAATGCCACTTGAAAATGATCCAAGAGATTAACCCATCAACCTAACCTCCAAATTACAAATCATAACTGTTGGATGATGAAAGTCCCACATCGACTAATTTAGGGAATGGTCATGGGTTTTATAATCAAGCTTTCTCCATTGGTATGATGTCTTTTGGGGAAACCCAAAGCAAAGCCATGAGAGCTTATGCTCAAAGTGGACAATATCATACCATTGTGGAGAGTCGTGTTCGTCTAACATGGTACCAGAGCCATGCCCTAAACTTAGTCGTGCCAATAAATTGGTAAATCCTCAAATGTCGAACAAAGGACTCCAAAAGAAAAAGAATCAAGCCTCCTCGAAAGCATAGTAAAAAATGACTAAGACTCCAAAGGAGTCGAGTCTCGATTAAGGGGAGGCGTACTTTGTTCGAGGGGAGGTGTTGGATGATGAAAGTCCCACATCTGGTTTTATAATCAAGCTCTCTTCATTGGGATGAGGCCTTTTGGGAAAACCCAAAGCAAAGCCATGAGAGCTTATACTCAAAATGGACAATATCATACCATTGTAGAGAGTCGTGTTTGTCTGACAATAACATCCCCTAGGAAGTTGAAAGGCAAATTAAATTACATATCTATCTAAACCGAAGATTTGGTAACAAAGAAAACAAGATGCCAAAATTTGATAACAATTGGCCGTAGAGCCATCCTCTCTACTGCACCCTAGCTAATGGCACCGAACTTATTTCATAACAATTGTCAATTTCATTACAAAGAGCAACAAAATAAAAGATTCTTCAACCTTCCCATAAATTTCTTGATGCAAGAAAAAACTCTTGGTTCGTAAAACAGAAAATCCTCCATTTCATCAGATCAAATGAAGGATAAAATCGAAACCCGAAACAGGGTTTATCTCAATTCGAACTCGCGATTGGAAAAGAAAGCCGAATCATCAAATAACACAATACAAAAACGCATTTCCAGCTCAAATTCCATCATCATCGAATCAAAATATCAAAAGAAGATAGAGATTAAAATTACCGGTGAAGAAACTGACGGATCTTGGGGAACTTTGGGCTGACTATACGGCGTTGAAGCTTGAGGGCGAGGCGATATGTTCGCTTGAGCCCCAAGAAATAGGCTGTTCCAAGAGTGATCTCCCATAGAACCATTTCACTCTCTCTCTAGAACTTTCTTCTGCTTCTCTCTGCAACTCGTTCTGTTCTGTGGCATTTGAAGAATCGGTTCTTCGATGTTTTCGTCTCCCCCAAGTTCCGCATTTTTACCGCTAAAATCATCGATGACGTAGGAAAATCATATTGGCCGTTGATTTTTTATTCTGATCAATCTCAGCCGTTGGTTTGTTTTTATTATTTATGAAATAAATTACTTTTTTTTCCTGCTAATCGAGTTTAATTTCCTTCCTTAATTAACGTCTCCTTAAATAATTAAGGAGCTTATGTCACAATTTTTAATTTTTTTTGAAAAAAAGTTATTTAATGAAGAAATACATAATTGTATTGTATTTAATAAATATTCGTGTAAATCTTCTAAAATTATTATTTTTTTTTTAATTCAGAAATTAAAAATAGTTTTGAAATGTTCCTCAAAAATCAAAATATCATCCTACCCTTGTCCGTCCCTTAAAAAAATACTACACAAATTGAGGCGGACCTATATTGAAATTTGGGACCCCAACATTGCCACATCATTCCATGTCTCAATCTTCATTCAACAATGAGGACGACTTTGAAACGTTTAAACGACAAAGTTCAAGTGTATTTTTGGGTTCTCCCCGAAAAGAGGGTTAGTTGTTTTGACCTATATAACCGGGTGGGTACAAAAAACCGAATTTTCATCGAGAAAACAAAACGAAAAAAATAAAAAACGCGCGGAGGAGATTGGAACTTACCCCTTTAGGGAGACACCAATGCCTATGCCTAAATGGTTGAGCAGAGCATTCAGTGTCTAAAGAACAAAATTGTAAAAGAATATAATCTCTGAAATCCAAAGACAAGCCAGAACTACACTGATACATGAGCATTGTAGAAAGAGGAGAGACTTTGTTGACAATAATGAAAAATCTGCTGTTTTAAAATTCTTGCAGATGAAGATATCTTATGCAATGAAGAGTCCGAGCACTAATTCAGGAAGAAATCTACTCTATATTTTCATCCTAATATATATATATATAGCCATGCCAGATTTGAAGGGGAAATACACATTACAGCTACAAGAACTTTCAGGCATAGATATCAACAAACATGACAACAATTCAGAGGATCAGACCTTGAGCGGGTTCGGGCTTGGGACGTTGTTGAGGCTCAGGGGGCACAGGTGCTGCTTTAGGGGATTCCGGGAGATGCAAAGTTTCGACCGTCTTCTTTTTCTGATCTTCTTCCGACACCGCGATTTTCTCTTTTGTTTTCTGACCAACTTCTCCAGCTGCCTTGGCTACCTTATTGAAAGTATCAGCAACCCAGCTAGTCCCACTCTTTACATATCGGTTACTCATAATGGCAGCTCCAGCATTGCTAACTTTCTCTTCTGCAACTGCAAATGCTGATTTAGTCTTCTCTGAAACCTGAAACTTCTGGTCTACTTCTCGAACTTTGTCGCCCACCAACACCGTTCCAGCGCTAATTTTCTCAGTGAACCCAATTTTTTTATCCAATGTAGCTACTTTGGCTGAAGCTGTGGAAGATAACTGGTGTTTCTCATCAAATGCCTTTGCAGAGTTGAGTGCGTCTTTGCCCAAGATAAATCCCTTGGCAAGCATACTGCTAACCACATCCTCTGCTTTCTGATAGGCGGATTCAGCCGTTCCAGGTGCATTAGTTCCAGGGGCCTGCAACAATCAAGACAATAAGCTGGTAAACTAAGAGAAATCATAAAGTGACACACATAGCAGCGCAAAAAACAAACAGTCCCAAGAATCTTACAGGGGGTGGTGCGGTAGCTTCAGGAGGGAGCACATAATCAGGACATGGAGTGATGTTGACAGAAAGATCCACTATTGTCGCTCCCTGACAAGAAGTTGAGCTCCATTAATTAACTAGCTCGGGCGATTCGTATTGCTGTTTCTCATTAGTTAATATGTTAAGTATAACGAGTGATGAATGTAAGAGAAAAAAAATCAAACAATATGCATCTCAAGGAAAGAGAAATGGGGCAATTTTATTGATGCAGAACAAACTTCCAGCTAAGGTCTATCTTATACTCTCACATAATAGAAGAGCAATCAAGCCTAAATTTGACCTCCTAATGTTTGCACCAAAGGTCGTGTCCCTTAGACCATTTAACTAGTTACGTGGCAAAATGCTCACTCAGATCACACATCATGTGATTGTAAAATGGCAACATGATCTACCTAATACAGATATTGGGGCTCGCACCGAGGATGAAGGTGGAAATGATGTAAGGTATAAGTAAAAGAGAACAGAAGAAGAAATGTTGAGGCGCTCGTTGATCTCTTCCTAATGATGATGTAACGGTCCAAGCTCACTGCTAGCAGATATTGTCCTCTTTGGGCTTTTCCTTTCGAACTTCTCCTCAAGGTTTTTAAAACGCATCTGCTAGGAGAGGTTTCCATACACTTATAAAAAATGTTCGTTCTCCTCCCCAACCGATGTGGGATCTCACAGGTGAGGTTTTTAAAGGAACATCCTCTCCCTAGATGAAGGCTATGTGACGTGACCACTAATAACAGCCATGAACAACCATATTGCCAACAATATTTCAATTTTGACTCACAGCTCCACTAATAATGGAATCTTTGAGAGTTATATCTTAAATGCCAATAGGTATGAAACTTATAATTACTGCGACCTAGAGACATTGTCTACAAAGTGAACTTACAGACAAAAGAGTGGCAGTCTCTGCTCCTTGTGCATCCTTAAAGGTTACGTAAGCGATTTGAGACCGTTCACTTTCACTGCAAAAGAATAAAAACATTGAACGAAAAGAAGATATATCATAAACTGAAACGAAAACCTGCATAACCTCTGCATTTCAACATATGCAATGTCACCCGAGAAGGAAAAAAACTCCTTGAGATCTCGTTCAGACGCTCCCAAGGAGACATTGCTGACTTTAACAGTTTTAACCTGCACATACAGAACAAAGCAGTTCAAACAAAGATCAAGAAATCTCCCACTATCTCCAAGAAGGTGCATAAATTCATTGCTACAGCTGAACAGTGATCAACATAAGTCAGAAAGAGAGTAAAAAAAATCAGCTATGGCCAGAAAAGAAATGAAAAGCAAAAAGGAAAATCTCATGGGTGCAGCCAAGAAAACGATGGACATCAACAAGCCAAGCAGCAATAGTAATCCAAAGGGAGCGAAGATTACACACTTCGAAGTATTAATTACAGGAATGACGTTCCAGGTTTTAATTTCGAATGTATGTTTCTATGCAGGTCCAGGTTCAGTAGGAGGAACGAACGTGGAACAGATTCAAAATACATTTCATCGATCAAAACATAGAAATGGACCAATTTGCTTAAACATAATCCTAATTCTTGATACACTGAATGGGAAAATCTCGACATGATACAAAACCCTCAAATGGGAAAATCAAACGGGAAAATAAACCACAAGAGATCTAATCCCTTGGCTGCACATTGCACTAATTTGTAATAACTCCAAAGAAAAACTACAGAGTAAGGGTCCAAATCTAACCCAATGGAATCCTTCCCCAACGATTTTCCACTTCGCAATCAGAATCTTCAAACGCGATGAAAAGAGAAGGAAATTCACGAAGTACTAACCGACATTGCTAGAAATGACGAACATAAATCGCCGGAACAGATATCGAATCAACCGACGATCGCCGGAAAACTGAAATCTACACGAAATTAGAACGATAAGCTTGATTCTGAATTTAGGATTTCCCCTCAGTGTGTCCAAGTCTTCGTCGCCTCTGATGAAATAAAAATAGCCATGACACGAACAAACGAGGCTTAGTTTTAACGGATATTTATAGTGTCGAAATATTTGGCACTAGGGATGTGTTTTACACGCGCTATCACGCGCGTACACGAACCGTCATGGATTCAAAACGAATATAACGGGACGGGGGTATTTCCATAACGGGGCGGCCTTCTGCACGGAAACTGTGACAAGCCACGTTGCAACTTACAGATTGTCTCTTCTATGTGCAATTACCAAATCAGCCTTAATTATTTTTAAATTTTGATTTAAATTACAAATTAGCCTATCTTCAATTTTTATATTCGTAATAGGTCCCTTAAAATTTTATATTATTAAATTATTAAAAATATCAAATTAACAATTTAATATTAGATTCAAAATTAAAAAAAAAAAATTATTAGAAATTTTTTAAAATATGGTTTATTTGAAAGTTTTTAAAACACAAATTTTAAATTTTAAAAATTTATTATATTTTTTTGTTTGATTCTATTCCATATAAATTAAAAATTTTAGATATTAAACAAAATTTTTAAATGAATTTATTTTATTTGTCTATTTGATAGATTGGTTTATATTAGGATAAATAAAAATAAGCTTATTTATTAAACATTTGGTCGGTTTCTTATTTTTAGTCCATATGAATACAAACAGGATATACGTATTAAACAAATTAAATTATGAGCCGACCCATTCAAATTAAAAAATAAAAAAATAAACAAAAAATCGTTTATCTACACCTTATAAATTACCTGCTATACGGTACGCGAGTATTTGTAAATGACATGACTTGAGTACGAGAAACATAGAGGCAATGAGATAAACAACACGTGGAACCGTTCTCGATGGCCTGATTGGCTAAGCTACGATAGCTGACGACACCCCATGACTTGGGATAGTGTCAAAAGACGATGAAAAGTGACGTTGCATTCCGAGACATAAGGGACATATTAATTGGGAACCAAGATGGGATGATGGGGAAGAGACATTGCATTGAGAGACCTTGGCCACGCGGCCATGTGTGGTCATCTAACGATCCAAATCCACCGCTAGCAGATATTGTCTTCTTTAGGCTTTCCCTTTCGGGCTTCCCCTTAAGGCTTTAAAACATGTCTGGTAGGGGAAAGTTTCCACACCTTTATAAATGGTGGTTTGTTATCCTCCCCAACCAATGTGGGACATTACAATCCATCCCCTTCGGGGCCAGCATCCTCGCTGACACTCTTTCCTTCCTCCAATCGATTTGGGACCGCCCCAAATCCACCCCATTTGAGGCCCAGCGTCCTTACTGGCACACCGTCTCGTGTCTACCCGGCTTTGGGGAACAACGAGAAGGCTGACACATCGTCTCGTGTCTTTCTGAAACAATTTGTAAGGGTGTGGAAACCTTCCCCTAACAATGCGTTTTAAAGCATTAAAGGAAAGCCCAAAAAGGACAAACTTAGATTCCACACAAGTGATATTTGGTCGGTAAATACAAATCTCGATGACGAAGGTACGTGTTAAGATTACCGCAGTTGAAAAAGTACCATTGTGACGGTAGTAAAAAAATAATAACTATTAATTAAAAAAAAGATGTGAATTAAAATAATAATATTAATGCCTTGTTCTTCTCGATTTCCGACTTATCTCAGCCACCCACGTGTCCACAATTACAGGTCATCATCATCTTGACGAGACACACACACACACACCATAACAAAACTCTTCCACCTCTTCAAATCATTATTCCATCTCTCTCCTCCATCATCGTCTTCCACTCTCTCTAAAAACTTGAATTCATCTCGCCTTTCATTGCGAATTCCTCAAAGGCCAATCTTCAATTGCCCTAATTCGTCCCTTTCCCCATTTGAGGATTCCTCTGATCCTCGATTACAGGAACGTCTTCATCTTTGTCCCGGATCCTCTTTTCCAGGGGAGAATTTGTTCTGTTTTTCTTGAATTTTGCTTTGTTTTCAATCGAGTTCTTCTTGTTGTGCTCTCTTCGGAAATTTAGGATCTCGGCGACATGAGCTTTCAAGATATCGAGGCTGGTCGCCCGTTTGCTTCTTCGAGGAGAGACCTCATCAATGGCAAACAAGATCCCACGCAAGCCGTTGCCTCAGGTATATTTCAGATTAATACTGCCGTTGCTACGTTTCAGAGGCTTGTTAACACCCTAGGTACGCCGAAGGATACGCCTGAGCTACGCGAGAAGCTGTGAGTTCTGTTATTTGATCTGGTTTTTTGGTTTCTTGTTGTTGGTTTGCTGTTAGGGTTCCTGAATTTTGTGTCTCATCGATGATATGCATGACATTTTCAATGGATTGTTGAATTGTGTGAATTGTAGTCTGTTTTTTGGAGTTTCGAATCGCTATTACTTTGAGGAGGATTCAACGTTGCGATTTGCCTCCTGTTGATTGTCCCGTATAAACCTTAGGTTTCTTTTGAATTTTGTCTTGTACGTTATCCTTGCCGTTTGCTTTTCCCTGATGGAGGGGTTATCTTGGAAAAGATTCAGACCGTGGAAAAGATCTGCATGGGGTATATCCAAGTCCTACATTTCTTCGCCATGAAGTTTCTAGAGCTCGTAGTGTTTGTCTGTCCGCTGTTTTTTGGGAGCAGTATTGGAAGGTTAAAGAAACCATATGAGATATCATTGGGTTCACTCGGTTGGGATTTCCATATACGTAACTATTCCATCTACTTCGTCATTTCTCATCAAGAGTATACTCAACACCAGGAGGAACAGAACTTTCTAGGGGACGGGGGTGGGGGTTGAGGGAACCATATTCTCTGCATTTCGTATTCTATAGAACCAAAGGACAATAGGCAACACGTGTTTCTGATGTTTAAAACGAGCTTAATCTTCACTTAGATTTTCCAAAATCGTAAGGATTAATTACTGTACAAATATGATGAAATTCTGCTCATTTAGTTGTAACATACAGTTAACATCATAGTTTTAGTTTGTTTATTTCTGGAATATAAAATGGCATCCAAATACATTGGAGAGAAATTTAATCTAGTATCTCATATTATACTACTCGACACATTTCCTATGATTTCTCTCACTTGGTTGCTGTAGGGACTGTGCATAAAGAACTGATCCCTCTTCATGGTTGCCTTTGCAAATACCACACTAGTACAACTAATAAATGTGTCGTTATCTTGTATGAATAACATCAGTAGGATTTGTCCTTGTAAAAAAAAACACTGCTATACTCCGTTCACTCCAAACAATCTCTTTAACATGACATACAAGTATAGTTATAGATGATCTGTTGCATTTTTTGTCCGAGTATGATGATGAATAAATCCTCCCCATCAATATTGAATTGAAACTGAAATAGATAGATTACAAAACACCTAGGTTAGGATCTCTTAGTAGTTTCATCCTTGGTTTTTGTGTGCCCTTTTTGTACAATTGTCAGGAAGGTGGTTATGCCCATGTATTGTCATAACTTATAAACCTCTAATTTGAAGTAACTATTGACTGTTCAACTGACATGCTTAAATATTCAGTGAGTTATTAAACTTACCTCGACAATTATCTTAGATACACTGCTATTTTATTTGTCTGCAATTTCCATGTTGATATTTGTTCCTATCAGAAAATGTTTTGATCCTTTGTTGATGACCCCCTGCAGGCACAAGACCAGGTTACATATTGGACAGTTGGTTAAAGATACCTCTGCCAAACTTAAACAAGCCAGTGAAATAGATCATCACGCAGAAGTTAATGTAAGATTCTTTCTTAACACTCCTCTGTTCAATAGTCTCCCCCCAGCTTCTTTGTGTTAAGTGTTAGCATGGCGAGTAAGTAATCTCCAAAAATCTCCTCTCACGACTATTATGACTTGTTAGCATGATTAGGAGATTTAACTTTTCTGATTTGAATGCATTTTGGATTTGGTTAGCATAAAATTATGAATTGGCACTCTATGATGGCAGGTTGTATTATCTAGTTTCCACCACTATCTATCATTTCACTTACACAGTTTTATATAAATTGATATATTGGTCATTGTTGTAGTCTGAATACCCATCTGGAAAATTGTGGGTTGTTTACTGGGATCCTGATTCTACAAACTACTGTCAGTGAGATGGTGAGAACGTGTTGAGCTTGGATGTCAAATCCTACTTGCTTGGTAGGAGCAAAATCTCTCTTTATTGTGGGAGAATTGGAATAATTTTCATGCTGAACCATTAACGAGGATGGAGTATGAATATATGAGTTAGTGCATGAAGTATATTAGCTACCTACGCTAGTAACTTGAAAATTATTCCTCTCCTACTTTCTCAAACAATGTGGTAATTCTGCAGGCCAGCAAGAAAATTGCAGATGCTAAACTTGCAAAAGATTTTCAAGCAGTGTTGAAAGAATTTCAGAAGGCTCAACGACTTGCAGCTGAGAGGGAAACAGCATATACACCTTTTGTTCCCCAGACTGTTCTACCTTCTAGGTATGTCAAGTTTATTATATAAACACAGCTAACAAACGTTGGTTATTTTCATGGAGTGTTTGTTGATTACAAACTACATTGGATTTACTTGAAAAAATTGATTTCCCTCGGTTCTGGTCTATACAGCTACACAGCAGGCGAATCAGATGCAAGCTCGGAAAAAAATTTTGAACAGCGTGCTCTCCTTGTGGAATCCAGGAGGTAACAGATTTTTTCTTTGCATTTTGTTGCTAGGCGGCTGATTATTTGGGTTAGATTTAGAATTTCATAAAGTAGGAATGTTTATGCAGTTGAATTTATGTTTCAAATACTGTGCACTGTGCACAGATGAAATGTTCGACCCGTATATGCAAGAACATGATTTCGTATAAAAACGTAGTGCTAAAAACTCTTTATATGAGCTTAAATTTGTCTTCCTTTTAGGGGTTGTTTCTTCAGTAGTGTTATTTTGTTGCAAAAAGCGAAGTATTGCCAGAATTAATAGCCAAGGAATAAACTAGCAGTTTTCTCCTTCCAAATCATGAATTCTAAGGCCTGTCTAGGTTTCACAGGATGTGCTTTCCTGCATATTCTTTCTACCATGCTACCTACAAATTTTATTTAAAATCTGCTCCCTCTTCCCCACGTTGCAGCTTGATTACAATTAGGCAGGTACATGCACATCTTACTAACTTGATTGAATGATTTGTCTAGACAAGAGGTCTTGCTGTTGGACAATGAAATCGCCTTCAATGAGGCAATAATTGAGGAAAGAGAGCAAGGTATTCATGAAATCCAGCACCAAATTGGAGAAGTGAATGAAATTTTTAAAGATCTTGCAGTTTTAGTCCATGAACAGGGAGCCATGATTGGTAAGTCACTTCAGTTTATAAAGTTGTAGATATATGTATGCCTCAAGTTATTCATGTATATATCACCATGGTGTAGATGATATTGGATCCAACATAGAGGGCTCCCATGCTGCAACATCACAGGGAACAACTCAGCTGGTAAAAGCTTCAAAGACGCAAAGATCAAATTCATCTCTGGTGAGCCCTTATGTTTCCTTATATTCATCATTAACTTTTTTTATATCAATTAGACCATGAGTTGCAGCAGGTTGTGTGCAATACTTCATTTAGCACTTTTGCATTGTGACTGTTAGCGGATAGTACAGTCTTCATTTAGTTTGTTATGTTCCATTTGGAAGTAAAACTCATATGAAGGTAAAACTTGCATACCTAACATCCATGCATGATCATGAATAGAATATTGAACTTGTTCTTCTTTTCTCATTTCATTCTAAACTGGTTTTAAACACTCCTAAATCAGTTGGCACTGTGGTATTTGTACTTTCATGCCTATGAACTACAAACATGGTAACTCTGTGGGTGTTTCATGTGGTGTTCATACATCTGATTCTTTGTTTTGATTTGTTTTTTTCTTGATTGGCAGGCTTGCTTACTTTTGGTGATATTTGGTATTATCCTCCTCATTGTGATCATAATAGTTGTTGCTTAAATGAAAGAAGAAGTTGTGCATTGACACAGGAAACACTTGCTGCTGTTGTAGCAAGATGAGTGTCCTGTTAGTTTCTTTTGATAACTGTACTTTGTGGTCGTGGATCATCCTGCCTTCTGGGAAAGGGTTGTGGAGGGGCTCTAATACTCTATATCCTCAGTCAGGTCGGCCATCCTCTTCTCTTCCATTTGGAAATGTTATAACCTGTTTGTGTGAAGGTGTGTGGAACCTGTTTATTTTATTTTTGTTCTTATTTAATTATATTGATAAATTATTTTTCTTGTCCTCACTTGGCTCCTCTGTACTCTGTTGCACACAGAAGCATTTACCCCATTTGCATGGTGGCTGGTAAAATGCGAGGGAGAGAGACAGATCTCTCTCTCACTCTAGGGTTGGGATATGGTTTGTAATAAATAAAAGGATTGGTCGTCTTGTTGGTGCTTTTATGGATTTACCAGACTGTTAACTTAGTGACTACTGAATCATGATGGTAAAACTGCCTGCTGTTCTTGTGTTTTGGGCTAAAAGTGAATCCTTTTCTTTATGATTGGTTTTGTTCCATCTGAAAATTTTATTGGCCTCACAAAAGAATTGTTTGCTTTTGGATGTTTTTCTTTTCTTTTAAGACATTCTCTCGGGAATCTCAAAAAAATATCGAAGTCCCATTATAGACTATAACTCGAACAACTCAGGATTGGTACTCAGATTTCCAATCTTACTAAAAGCTAAACTTCTAAGCTTGTTACTAGAATTAAGACTATTTGGATAATCATGTATGACAAGCTTGAATTTTTCATAAATAATTTTTAAAAATTTACTCTATGACCCAATCTAATAGTGATTGGGTCGTGAGCCTATTTGATTCAATTCATTTAAGTAGCCAACATCTCAAATGAGTGCAAGTCAATCTGAGGAATTGTTATTTACTGCCATCAATATCTCAACATCTTAAAAGAAGAAAAAGACAGCATTATCAATTCTAGTAAATAAAGTGACTGAATTGATTTATATAAATACGTGGGATGTAGGAAATTATCACGATAAAAGAAATAACATCCAATTTCTACTGCAAATAGTCCATTTTAATATTAAAATGCGTCGGAAGTTTCGCCCTTATAACATGAGATCTCACACCAGTGTCTGGATAACATTCTAGAAGGTTGAATGGTTAGATAAAATCTGGTCTTAACTTCCCAACTACTAAACTAATCATGTTTCCAAATAAAGAAAAAGTAATTCGACTGAATTTGTGTTGAACAAAAAAATTCAACAACAATACTTCAAAATCGATTCAACCGGACTGTTCTTTCTATTCCATTGTTATAGAGAGATTCTCTTGATTAACAATCCAAGTCGGCGGATGAACAGACCCGTTTGCATGTGCCTATCTAGATTACATGCAAGGCCAAATGCACTAATAATATCATTCTCTAGCAGTCAGCCATTGGTGCAATACTAGAATTAACGGAGTTCTCATACATTAGAAACACAATTGGCATCAACCAAAATTGATATACTTGCCTCCAAACCAACCCATCACTGCAAGTAATACCACCCTTAACCTTTCTATTTCTTCTCTTTTTATCCGAGAAGCCGAACTTAAAATTTTTCAGACTACGAGCAAGATATAACTGTTAACATCATCGTGTATAGTATTTACAGATCTTACCCATAGTTCTAGCCACATTGTTTGATAAGCAGACAAAAGATATGAAAGGGAGATAACCCAACGAGCGTCTTCCCTGCACGACCACCAAAAGGCAACCTGTGAAAATGAGCAGAACCCAACGCTAAAATATGCATCAGAATAACGAAAGGCTACAAATTGTAAGAATGGACATTTGCCCATGTCCAGAAACAAGCAGTTAAAATGGAGGTATTGAAGAGTACGATCTCATTATTACGAATATAGTAGAAGTGATTACCTCAATTGGTCATTTGAAAATCATCTACATTTGACGATCAAGCTCAAACCCTTTTAATTTCTGAAGTGAGAAGGCCCATCTGTTCTGTAAGTTTATCCACATGTTTAGATTTGTCCCAAACGTTTTCCACTGGCTGCATATCATTCGTCTTTGGTAATCCTCCTCCTACCATAAAGTCAATCTCCTCCTCCTGACATGGACTTTGCACGAGCAAATCATCCCAGAAGTTGGAATTCGCTAGTAAGGCATCGATATCAGCATCAGGGGACATGCTATCAATCTCTAAGGGAATAGTTCCATCGACATCCAACAAACTTGGACTTATAAATGAAGAATTTCCTGCCTCGGGTACCCTATAATCTACTTCAGGAACATCAATAATGTTCTCAGACACCATTTCAGATAATTGGGAAAGCTCAGGCATGATTACATCTGTGTCAGAAACTGACAGGGAAGAAGCTTCTCGTGCCCCTGGACCCCGTACAGCATTAACAGCAAAAGGAGAAGTTGAAACCTTGTCTGAAGTTGTAGCTTGGGGTAACGATTGAATTTCCGATATGGCTGTTGAGGGGCCATGAGGAGCAACACCAGAAGCAGCTGAATTGAAAGATGATGGCCCTGAGGTCGGAGGTACCTCTTGAAGAGTCACACCTGATATAGAACTGGAAGAGTTCCCATTGTCCATTGCTGCACACGACGATTGCAAACCATCATTAATTAGGAAACTGTCGGTATTGAGGTTCACAGGTTCTGATTGCGAAGTATCTATTTTCATTATCTGCCTCAGCATTGTTTTTGCTGCCTCATTCATGAGAGGTTGATACTTCACAATTTGCCCATCAGGAACAGTAGAATGCTCAGACTCAACAATACCATCTTGCTTGAGTCTTCGCTTTTTATTAGCTTCACTTATGCGTCTAGTACTTTCATTTTGTTGCTGCACAAATTGAGCCAAAAAGCCAGGGCTTTGCACAGCCTTTGCAAGAAATGACATCATCTGCTGCTGTCGCTGCTCCATCCCTTGTAGACGCTGTACCATAGTTTGCAGCTGGTTGTCAGTAGTCTGTTGCTGCTGCCTCAATCTCACAAGTTCCTGCATGAGTACATTTTTGTCTCTTTTAAGCCTCTCAACCTCTTCCTCCAAACCAAATTTACCAACTTCCACACAAGCTCCAACAGACGTACTTTGTCCATGAGATTGCTGTGATTGCTGCTGACTGTGCCCATGGACAGGTTTACGCCGAGTAATACTCTTAAGCAGGTGTTTCTGACCTCTTAAGAAGTCTTCATTAGCAAATTCCCAACGATCTGGATCAACTTTCCTGAAGCCCTAGTTAAAAAACATAAATAACCAACCAAGTACAGGGGAGGAATCAAATAACTGGAAAGGTATGAGTAAGCAAAATGAACGAACATTAAAGGAAAACTGATAACTGAATACATGTTTACACAAAAAAGGACTGCAGCTATCAGTATTCTTATTTAATAATTTCTCTCCAAAATCACTCAACAATTTCATTGAGGGAGAGGCTACACTTCCTACTATTCTTTGAGAGTTGATTTGGAAAGCCAAATACAACAAAAAGTTTCCTCTTGGTCTATCTATTATGTATGCAAACTTAAAAATAGAAAAACCAATTTTACTGAGTTTTCTTTTAGGAGGTATAAAGTTTGAAAAACAAGCTATGATACTATCTTAAGGAAGCAAAACGTGGTTCATGTTCTCTTCCAAGAGACTTGGTTGAAAAAAAGGGGAAATCTTGCAAAATTCTGTGTCATCAGCTCAAAATTTGGGATCTGGTGTTTTTTCTTCCCTCCACTTTGAGTTACCTTTCCAATTCTTTTTGTAGTTACATTACAATGTGGCACCATGACCAATGTAGATATCAACAAGATCTTGAAGAACCAGAAAAAGAATCTAATATTTTAAGAAGCTTTCCAACCTTAAATGAATTAGAGTATCAATATTCTACACTTGTCTGTCCACCGTCCTCGCTTAACTAGGCCAAAAATATTAAATCAAGAGGTTTCCCTATTCAGGAGCTTTTCATAAGTGAATTTCTTTTAAAAACCAAGACAATCCTCTCCTCAGCCGGTCAGCAACCTAGTAACAGCCAACTGGATGATTCAAGGATCCTCTTTTTGGAAGATAGGTTGGGGATTCAAGCTTGGAACGGCCTTTCCTAGACTCCATAAACCTCTCCTCAGCCGGTCAGCAACCTAGTAACAGCTACTTGAGGAGAAGCTAAAGAAAATGTTTAGTCAAATGTCATTTACTACAAGTCCGGATAAGGAATCAACCCAAGAGAAAATTCTGATACCAAATGATAAGAAATCAACCCAAGTAGAAGCTCTGATACCAAATGATAAGGAATCACTACAAGAGTATTAAGATTTGGATTACCTTGTTAATTGAATATCTTAAGACAAAAACACTTGTTTGAGATTCGAATCACTCTACAAGAAAGATCGATCATGACCTACTTGAATGATTCTAAACATGCAATCTAAACTACATAGAATTGTGAAGAAACTTAGTCATTGGCTAAAAGAAAGCACAAATGCTCTTTTTACTACATTTTCCAAGTCAATCTTACAAAGATAATATACATGGCTTTATATAGTCTCAAAATGAAAACCCTTAACCTTCCATGAGGAATTTCGAGAGTTGTAATCTTCATATTTTATGACCGTAATTAGGCACTAAGTAAATTTAATCTTAAAGTAAATAAAAGCCTTAAAATACATTAAAGAAACACCATAACTCTAGATTATCATCCACCCAAAATTTGCAAAGAATAAATGAAGCTTCATTCTTCTTTAATGTGGAATGAATTGGAACATCTTGTGATAATTTGAACACATTTTCTTTACATATTCCTTGAAATTGATTTTGCATGATTGATGTCTTAGTTCATATCAGACCCAAATCAAAAAAGTTCTAAGCCAATCAATAGATGCTCATCAACCTAGCTGGTTTTAGCCTTACTGGGGCCCCATTTACATAATCTAGTCTATGCCCAATTTTTTGACATACAAAGCGTTAGCTCAAAAAGGCTTTACGGGAAGACGAGAGATTATATATCTACTTAACCAAGGGAGATTTTAAAAAGGCCTCCCACTTAGTGTGGGTAAAAGAAAACATATAGTAATAAAATTACAGTAGAAAGAACATAGTAATTACAAAACTCTTACCGTTAAGTAAGAATCAACTCCGAAACACCCTTTGTATCTTTAGGCTAACCTAAAAATTATTTTGAGTTTTATCGATTCAAATATCCCATACAAAGACATTTAATGCATTTTCCTGGAGTGATTTTCATTTCTTTTGAACTTTAACTGCACAGGAGCTAGAAGATCTCTCCATCCCTTAGAAACATCTCTTTAGAGGTAAAGTTTGAAGAAATAATGTATTACTGGATAACATAGGATCCTAGACTCCTAGCTGAACACTTGAAGCAAAGGAAAAACAAAAGATGAGATGACTTCAACAACTGATTGCCCAAGACACGCAAAAGGGAAAATATTAAGATGCTTCCTTTCAATCTATGCTGTATAAATTATACACCATCACAAGCTTTCCACAAAAACAATTGAAATTCGTTGGGAACATTAGATTACCAGATAGCCATACAGCCCTATCCAAGATTGACAAGTTAAAGAGTCAGATGAACAGTATAGATGGTCCATTCTTCTCCATATGAGTTGAAGAGATGTCTTCTGAATAACATATTACATCCTCCCTCTCATTGAACCTTGAAATGTTTAATGAGAATTTTCTTGAAATGGCCACCTGATAAAAGCCCTGAGGAAAGGGAAGATAAGAGAACGATTGCCTTAACTGACATCTTTCTACATTTTGATGCAACCATCACTCAACAATTATACGTTTGTGGGCTGCAATTTGAAACAAAGATCCATGACCCTCTAGCACTCCTAAGGTTACTTATCCTCCACTTCCTCCACTCCTTGAAAAGGGCCAGTTAGCTCACTATCATCTTAAGAAATAAGACTTGATTTTTACTAGAAAGCTCCATTTAGCAATGAGCGGTAACTTCCTTGTTGCAATCCAAAAATATTAGAGACACTGTTTATAAACCTTCATGCCAACTAACACAATTGCTGCCACAACTATCAGTTACCTCGTCATCCCAACGGAAGTCCTCCCATATTCTTTTCCAGCATCTTAACCACCTTAGCAAGTAACTTCAACAGAAACAAACGGATACAATTCAATGAAGCCTATTTTACAGCCCTCAAAAAAAGTAAAAAATCTTTCCTCCTAAGATAAGTGAGTGACATGTAGAAATAATACATATGCAAGTTTTAAATACGGAATTCATCAGTACTCGAAGGCTAAAATCCAGAGGTTGATATAAGACATCTCAATCATGCAATATGAACTTTAAGAGGATGGTCTTCATTTAATTTTAGATTGTTACAAATTTTGGGTGGATCATAATCTAGAGTTATGATGTTTCGTTAATAAATTTTAAGATTTTTTTATTTATTTTAGGTTACATTAACAAAGTGGCTAATCATGGTCATGAACGATGAATGTTACAACTCTTGAAATGCCTCATGGAAGGTAAAGGCATTCATTTTGAGGCTATATAAAGTAATGAATGTTCACTTTGGAAAGTAGACTTGAAAATATAGTAAAAAGAGCATTTGTGTTTTCTTTTAGCTAAGGGCTAAGATTCTTTACAATTCTATATAGTTTAGGTTGCATGTTTAGAATCATTCAAGCTTGACATGATCAATCTTACTTGTGGAATGGTTGGAATCTCAAAGAAGTGCTCTTGCTTTGAGATACTCGATCAGCAAGGTAATCCAAATCTTGCTTTCCCTTGGGATGATTCCTTATCGTTTTGATATTCTTGGATATATTTAGATCTCAAAGTCTTATTCTTCAACAAGGTTGTTAGAACAAAGTCCTAAAAGTTACACTAAGGGATTGCATATCCTGAGCGCTTAGGAGGGATCTTAGATTCAACTGACTAGGGTTACCTATAGAGATTCTACCGAATTCCCATGTTATAATATACAGCTCTTGATGCACAACGAGTCTAAAACCATCTAAAAAACCCTAGAGAACACGCACCCGGGCTGTCAAATTATTTCTAGAAAAATGTCCACACATTCAAAACGACAGAAGGAACGCACCTTTAAATGATAAATGCAGTCTAAAACATAAAACTAAGACTACCAATTCAATCCCACGAATTCAATCCATTCCAAGCATCCACTGTTTTCAAGAAACACCAGCCCGATAGCCACTAAAAATATAATTAATTCCAATCCCAATCTAATTAGATCCCCACAAAGTAGGCCGCACTCCACCAGACACTAGCGATTAGCAGAGATCCTGAACACGAACTAAATCGATGAAAACTAAACAAAAAAAAAAATTATGAATTCAACACAAAAACTCATAAAGTAGATACAAAATAAGCTGAACATCATACATAGGTATTGAGCTGCCTGACGAAGCTGGAGAAGTTGTTATGCTTGAAATATTTGGGCAAAAGATCCCTAGCGAATTCAGGCGGGTTCCAAACCACAAAGCTATTATTCGTAGAGCTCCAGGACACAACTGCATCGGTAGCCGGATCATCCACCATATCATATGTCTTACTCAGGAACGGCGGAGGCGCGTTCACATTAGTGATAGGAGCCGGCACCGTCGGATGAGAACTATCACTTCTGGAGGCCAATCCAGAGTCGCCGCCATTAGCAGTCACATCCATCTCACGGTCAACAAACACAAGACAAGTAAGAAACAAGAAACAATTCAAGCAGAGAACACAGATTCAGAAAATTAGGGTTTCGAAATGTGGGAAATGAATAAATTCCATCGTCAGGAGGTAAAACGCTTTGAATTGAATATGAACTGAGAGTGTCGAGAGAGGAATCCGGAGGGTTTTGGAGGAGAAGAATGAAACAATGGCGGATACGAGAGAAGAACGATGAAGAGAAGAAGATAAACAGAGAGACAGAAAGAGTGAAAATGAGAGTGGTCGTACGGACTAGCAGCGAAACAAAGGGAAGCTGACCGGCTTGCCCTAAATGGAAATCGATGCAACTGAACGACGTCGTCTCGTAATGTTGACTGCCAACAACGTCGTGTCGGTGTTTTGACCGGCAGTTCCTATTTTGAGGTGCGTGCTTTTTCTTCCCTAGTAAAAAATTAGGCAAACGAGAGTCAATTTTTTTTTTTTAATAATATAAAATCATTGAAACGAGAAACCGAAATGGAGTAGAGAGATACTTCTCGAGCTAAATAGGATCGAGGGTGAAGATTATATTTTTGTCCTTGTGTCGTTCCTGCCTTCAACCCTACCTATTTATTTAATCATCGAAACGAAAATAGAGAGGGAGTAGAGAGATATTTCTCCAGCTAAATAGGGTCGAGGATGAAGATTATATTCTTTGTCTTAGTTCTTGCCTTTGACACTACCTAAATTTTCACCCTGTCCCTAAATTTGCTCGTGGTCGAGCATAACCACTCCCATGTGAGTGTAGGTGTTCAACGAGCGCAACCAAGAAAAACATGGTTGTATAATTCAATGAGTAGGTGTTTGAAGTTCGTGATTGAGCACAACCACTACTCTCGTTCTTTTCTACAATTTTTTAGTGTTAGCCCAAAGAAAACACAACTCGAACGGTCGGTTTGCACGTTAGTCAGTTTGACTTTTCACTCTTCAAGTCAAACGTGATCACTCTTCAAGTCAAACGTGATCACTCTTCAAGTCAAACGTGAGGGAAATTGAAATTATTATTCGTAGTAAAAATAAAAAATCGAGTGTAGGGCGGACCTCAGCCACAGTGTTGGGCCTGAGGCCCACGATAATTGATCCATTGTTGCTAATCTGGGCCCTTCGTATTTGGGCTTTTGACAAATATTCATATTTTCCAATATATAATATAAATGAATTTTTATATTTTATTTAAAAAAATAGTTTAAAGTTTTTCATTAATATCAATACTTTTTAAAAAAAATTATAAAACATCCTTAAAATTTTTAAAAAGTAAAAAAGAAATACACGTTACTATTTTTGAAAGTTTAAGAATATTTTTGTAGATAAACTTAAAAATGTTTATTGATTATGCACACAATTTTTTTTAGTTCAGCAGAGTGGTGGAAGATTCAAACCTCGAACCATTGGGTTGAGAGTGCACGTTTTTTGTCCGTTATGATCACTTAGACGTATCCATATTATGGTTTTTTCACTTCATTAATAATTTAGTGGGAACACCACAATGAATAAATCACACGTAGTGCAATTTATCAATGATATAAATTATAATATATGGTTGGTGGAAAATTATTTTTTAACCTATTAGGTTTTTCGGGAATGTTTGAACTTTTAATATTTTGATCGATAATGCATTTTTTAACAAGTTAAGATATGCTCGTATCGGTAAAATTAAGAAGTTTTTTCTCGTATGGACTGTTTTCCATTCATGTTGCACGCACGTGTTTAGTGCAATATAATGATTTTTTTCGATAGTTTATGTAAAAGAAATGCGTTATGAAATTACTAGGAATAAAATAGGAGGTGAAATGTGATGTCCTATGTTGGTTGGGGAAAAGAACAAAACACCATTTTTAACCGTGTGGAAACCTTTTCCTACCAAATGCGTTTTTAAAGCCTTGAGGGAAAGAACAATATTTGCTAGCGGTGGGTTTAGGCCGTTATAAATGGTATTAGAGGCAGACACGGGGTGATGTGTCAGCCTTCTCGTTGTTCCTTGAAGGGAGGTAGACACTAGACGATGTGTCAGCCTTTTTGCTGTTTCTCTGAAGGGGGTAGACACGAGACGGTGTGCTAGTAAGAACGTTGGGCCCCAAAAGGGGGTGGATAGACACTGAACGATGTGTCAACCTTCTCGCTGTTCTCTGAAGGGGGGTAGACACGAAGCGGTGCACTAGTAAGGACATTGGGCCCCAAAGGGGGTGGATAGACATTGGACGATGTGTTAGCCTTCTCGTTGTTTCCCGAAGGGGATAAACACGAGACGGTGTGCCAGTAAAGACGTTGGGCCCCATGGGGGGTGGATAGCTCTCTTAGGGTTCCCTCATCTGGGATCCCTGGGGAAGGAAGAGGATCAAGTTGGTCCTGATCATTGGTTGATAGGCAACTTTCCACACAACTACATTTACATTACGGAAGGTTCTCAAGCTCTACATCGGTCGATGTGCCAGCCTTCTCGATGTTCTCTAAATGGGGTAGACACGAGGCGGTGTGCTAGTAAGGACTAGACACCGGACGACGTGTCGGGCTTCTCGTTGTTCTCCGAAGGGGTAGACACGAGGCGGTGCGCCAGTAAAGACACCCTAAAAGGGGTGGATTTGGCGAGGGTCTCACATCGATTGGAAAAAAAAAAAAAAAAGAGTGTCAACGAGGACGCTGACTCCGAACGAAGAAGTTGTGTTACTTGTAATCTATTTAGATATAATACATGTTTGTGCTTTCTTTGGGGAAACCGTTTTGAAGCAAACAATAATAATTTAATGGGACATATTTTTATAATGTTGTTAGGCTTCAATAAAATAAACAAACCAATAGCCTTTGGTGGTCTCCCACGTGCCCTACCACTTCCAGGTTCAAGTTCCAATTTATTGGAAGCATTTGATTCAAAAATTTTAATTTATGGAAAGAAAAAAAAAAAAAAAAAAAAAAAAAAAAAAAAAAAAAAAAAAAAAAAAAAAAAAAAAAAAAAGCACGTGACCTGTTTGATGATAATTTTTTTAAAAAATAAATTAATAATTTTTTTTGAGTTAAATTAATAAAAATACCTTTCATATTTATAAAAAAAATATATTTTTCATTAGTTTTGGATTAATACTAAAAAAATACTCTTAAAACCTTGAAAAACGTTTTAAAAATATAATTTATTTTAATTTCAAGATATTTTTGGGATAAAATGTAAAATTATTATATGGGTAATTAAATATTGATTTTTTAAAAAAATTAGAAGGTTTACTTTTTACTTTTTTATTTTATTTATTTGAACTTTTGATGTGTAATGACTATTTATTTAAATAAAAAAGAATCATTGAAGACAGGTGGCATTCTGGTAGTGAAACGTGGCACTTGAGCGGACCGAGACGTACCAGATTGCTCCCCCTATCACTAGCCACGTGGCCCGTTTCACCAACCAGTAATGACAACAACACAAGGCTCTGTTCAAATATATGTACATACCAATGATTAAACAATTGATTTCTAACTTCACGCGACCATTAGGCGCGTGTTTCTCACCGCACTTCTTATCTCTTTTAATTTTAACAAGTCAAAGCAATTATTTTCTGAGGAAAAAAAGTATAACACATTAACCACTTCAGTAACACATTCAAATATTTTATGCGTATTATTTTACTGTAAAATTAATAAAAAGATTCATAAATTTTATATTTATTTTAAAAATATTCTTTAAACTTTTAAAAAGATTTTAATTTTAAATAGAAATGGTTAATATTTATATTTTAAAATAGTTAAATTAATACTCTTCCATTTTTTAAAAAAAGTTCAAAAATTTAAAAACAAAATTTTTAAATTTTAAATTTTAAATTAATATATTTTTTTTCTTAAAATTACTATAAAAATAGTTGATGATGTCATGAAAACGATTGCAATTTTTTATTAATATAAAAATAAGAAAAAACTAATGCATTTTTTTATATACATAAGTAGAGCAATCATTGGCTTTGAGTTTTGACATTTTTTTTTCTATATTTCTTTATTTTATTAAATGAAATTAACTTAATTGATTAATATTAATTCGATGTGTGTAGATCACGCGCCGAAAGTAAACCAATGAATGTCGGGTTAGGTGGATAATTTTAAGAGTTGATGAAACCCTATATTAAGTTAATATTAAATTAAGCAATTATTTATTACGATTTTTTAAATCTTAAAATATTTAGATTCTTAAACTTTAATCTTTTTAATAATTTCCTAAATACTTAACATTATGTTAAATTAGAAAATATATTAAACATTAATTTAAAATTTATTTATAATAGGATATTAAATTTTTTTATTTTTTATTAATAGATTTTGAATAGTATTAATTATGATAATGACTTATTATATATTGAATTCGAGTATATTTATGTATTTGAGACTTAAAGTATATTAAATTCTCCCACTCTTTATCTAATTATTATTTCAAATATTCTATTCTCTAAATAATTGTTAAATATTTAATTTTTTTAATATTATACCGTCTAATTAATGGTCGAATAGTGTCATTTGACTTTCGAAAGATTTTATTAGATTTTTTTAGATCATTAAATTTTATAAAATAGTTTTACGAATAAATATTTTAGACATAAAATAAAAATTTAAAAACACTAGTTATTAGGGTTAGTTTATGATTTAACTCATTTTTTACTCCTTTATTTTTATTTTATTTTTAATTTTTCCACAATTCTTAATTTTGGCTTTCACTTTCTTTGAACAAAAATTTGAAATTTTAATTGAATTTTAAAAACAAAATCATAATTATTTGAAAAGTAATTTTTTAAAACTAAAACATAAAAAATTATAAAATTTAATTTTTGAAAATAAAAAAATTTAAAATACCAAGCTAAAATAATAAAAATACTCCTAAACTTTTTAAAAAATCTAAAAAATACTCTTAAATTTTAAAAAGTAAGTAATAAAAAAAATATCTATTAAAAAAAAATAGCATCAACCCTTTTAATCTTTACTTAAAAAAATTAAAAGTATTTTAAGAATATTAATATTTTTAATTCAAAACTAAGAATATTAAATTTTTAAAAATTTAAAGGTATTTAGTATTTTTATTAATTTAATAAAAAAATAGAATAACAAATTGAAGCCGTTGAAAAGAGTTAAATTTTAGTGCAACGTGGAAGCTGTTTCCAAGTGTATAATTTCTACTCTCTCTTACACTCGCGTGTAAGCGTAAGCAATACGAATCTCTCACTCTCTCCTCAAGTGGAATCAAATTCTTTGTACCCAGTCCCATCCTTCACTGTCCATGGCAGCACGAACAAAAAAAGGGCAAACAA